TCTCTCTCTCTCTCTCTCTCTCTCTCTCTCTCTCTCTCTCTCTCTCTCTACCTTGGATGCTGACAATTGATTGTGTCCTTCAAGACCATTCGGTTGGATCGATTTCCAAATCGTGAATCTCTCTATTCAAGTCGATTGGGATGGTGGACGTATTCTATTTCTCCATCTAGTTTTCTTTCTTTTCTTGGGTTGGAAGCTTCAATAACCACTCCTGCTCTATGTTTGTTAGACAGTTTACCAGTTATTCTTCACTCTTCCAAGATGGGGTACATGAAGCATAAGATCCAGTCTCTATGTCCGTCAAACGGACTTATGATGTTCTGGCCTTCTTCGATTTTTATGGGGTCTCTTCTTACGTCCCAGTCCCCCCATTGCCATGTCTCAGCCTTTTTTAGCTGGTTCCTCCATTCGAGTGTTACGCTTTCAGTCATTTGTTGTAGATTCTTTCCCAAGTTGTGCCAGCCTTTGAGCGTTTTCCTTTCCCGGGCTTCTGACTGCCACTTCTGCTGCTGCTTGTCGCATATGTGCTTAACCTGCCAAACTCCTTTTTCCAGCCAAAGACCCCACTTTCCGTCCTTTTTGCAGAGGATACATGGTTTGTTTTCCTCGTTGAGTTCCATTGGGCTCCCAAAGAGCAGTAGTTCTAGGAGTTCAGTCCTGTTCTTAGGTTCCTATCTGATCCGTGGAAGCATCCGTCTCCAATTCAAGATGAATCCCTTCTTGAAAGATATATGCTTTTGTTTCTCTCCCTCCTCTGGTTCGTGGGTTGTGGTGGTGGGGGGGGAGGCTTTTGGGAGTGTCCAGAGTGGGTTATATAACCAGGAAAGTCCTTCCATGTCCTCGGCCCTCGGGTGAGGTGAACAGTGCCAGTTTCCAGATTTGTATTAGGTCTAACTGGAACCAGGGTACGTCTTGTTGGAAAGTAATCTTCAGTGCCCACTTGCTTTCTAGGGCTTGTATATTTGATGCTCCGGATCAAGAATACCCAGTACTTTTTCGTTCGAATTGTGTTACCAGTCTCCATGGTACTTGGCGAACGAAGTGCTCCTTGTCTGGCTTACCTGACGATAGAAAAGTTGTTGCTTTCCTTTTGACCGACTGGAGAAAGTTGTGCAGGGGGGGAACCAGATCGAGGTGGCGTACCACATGTTGGATAGGATGAAATTATTCAATACTGGGGCTCTTCCCATGATCGATGGGGTGGTCCGTTGCCAGCATTGCATTTTGTTTGGCATAGAGGACAGAAGAATCACTGCCTTTGTTTTTTTGTTTTTTTTTTTTGGGGGGGGGGGGGGGGGGGGGAAGAAACCAGCTTGTGTTACATGTTGTTGGAAAAGCAGAACGTATTGTAACGGCTTGGAAGAACCTTCCCATTCAAAATCCTGTCCAGGCACACCACCATTCTTCACGGTCCTTAAACCACCAGTACCTCCCCCACTGTTGGGAAATTACGTGATGCTGGCCAGTACCCGAACTTTTCGGGGGTTGGACACAGGGTCGGCAATGTCCCATAAATCGTACTTTTCTTTTGCCCGTGCACGGAAGGAAAAGGAAAAAAAAAAAGGCCTTTGTACTGCAATGATGTCGGGCAGGGTAGTCTAGGAGGTCGTCTTCACTGTCTTGAATGCATCTCACCACAAAGACGGTCACATTCTGAAACTTGTTGTTTTCTCTTTTTTTTTTCTCTTTTGTTTGTTATGTGTCCTCTGCCAACGAGGCAGGGTGGAATCCTTGATCTGCTCTAGCTGTGTTTCCTCAGATGATTGTAACCCTGATGTATCCAGCCGTTTTCAAGGCCGAATCCGGTTTTTTTTTTCTTGTTTTCTTTTTCTGGAATCTGACAATCTGAATCCGTGATCTGCTCGAGCTGTGTTCCCTCAGAGGATTGTAACCCTGATCACACTGGCACTTACGGGAATGTATCTTGCCATTTTCACGGCCGAATCCGTGTTTCTGTCTTTTTTTTTTTGTTTTGAGTTTCTGGAATC